AGGGCGCTCTCAGCCGAGCTGCCCCTACGGAGTTCTCCCCGCTTGGGGCTAGCCCCAGCTGCGGGCTCCTGGCCTAGGGAGGGGAGGGCCTCCGGGCTGGGAGCCTCCTGGTCCTGAGAGGGAGCCCTTCCCTGCTCCTGCCAGTCCATGGGGGTGGCAGCCCCAGTCTCTGGGGTCCCCAGAGCCTCATCCTCAGTGGGAATATCGGTGAGGGACACCCGGGAGCCTGAGAACTCGGGCTGCAGTGGGCGGGGCACTGAGGGCAGCTCTTCCAGCACTTCCTCTTCAGAATCCGAGGAGGATGAGAGCCCCCCACTGGGGGGTGGCCTTCTGGGCATGGTCACCCACACCCGCTCTGGGGGAGCCCGCAGCAGCTCCGGGATGGGGCGCAACACCAGGTGGCATTTGTAGCTGATCTGGAAGCGCTGGAGACAGGTTACTGGAGTCAGACCTGAGGGACCCCTGGGGCAGGATTGTCCCCCCCAGGCCCACCTCAGCCCTGGGGAAGAGGCCTGAGCATGCAGAGGGTCAGGGAACAGGCAGGAAACTGGGTATGGAGCCAGTGAAAGCGAGAAGACAGGAGCAGGAGATGAAGACCCATGGGAGGGGGAAGGCGGTGTTAGAGAGAAGGAGAAGGTGGAAAGCATAGAGGCTGGCCTGCCACACTCACCTGCCACCTCCTCCGGGAGAGGAATAGCTTCAGGTGATCCGTGCTCATCTCTGCGCCCTTTGCCTGAGTCTGCAAACCCAGGAAAGAGGGCTTGAGGGAAAGCTGTCAACCTAGACCCTCCAGGTTTGGCAACAGAGAGGCAAACTCCATGGGGCGGGGTGGCAGGAGAGAGTGGATTGAGCAGCACTGAGTCTGGGCTCCTGGGGTCCCCTTTCCCTTGGGTCTGTCAGGACAATGCCTACAGCCAGGGTGTCCTTAGGGACAAATCCCCTAAAGCCCCCAAGGGGGAGGCAGGAAACTGGTAGCTCCCAGAGGTAGGCTTCTGAGCTTCCACCAGGGCTCATGGCCCTGTCCTGGTAAACCAGCTGCCCTGGGAGGCCTGTGCTCTTAGGCCCCTTACCTAGGCCCTGGCTCCTCAGCTCCTCTCTGTCTCCATGTAGGGCCAACACCCCAGACATCTGGAGCCTTGGTGGTCCAGGCCAAGATGGATGCTTCCCTCGGCTACCCACCCAGGCTCTCTCTTCCGGAGCTCATTTCCGGTCTGAGAAAGGAGGCTCTTAATTCAACTCCTGACACCAGAATGACCTCAGCCTTCAAATCCGCTCCCAAATCCCCAAGACCCCATCAATGCCTGGCACTGTGCCCTGAGGCACTGGGGTTTGAAGATGAATGAGTGAGAACCGAGAACCTGCCCACATGAAGCTCATAACCGGGGGCTGAGCCTGCCTGGTCACCCCCAACGCTAGTGTGTGGGACCAGTGCAGGACAGAGATGGAAAGGCAGAAGTCAGGAAGACCAGGGTCTGGTCTCAAGCATGGGGGAGAACTCCACTGAGGATGCCCAGGATGGAGAGGTCCAGACATATGCCCTGGAGTCCAGGATACCCCCAACTCCATCCCTGATTTGAGCCTGTTTCCTTGTCAACAAAATGGGACTAATAATGTCTTCCTTTGCAAAGCTATTGTGAGGTTAATAGGCCATATGCATATTCAATGCCTAACGTGGTTACTGCACATAGTAGGTACTCAATAAATAGAACTGTTAGTAACATTCTCCCTCCCTCCACCTTTTGTGCCACCACTTTGCAGACCAGACTCACTTTGAACCAAGGATGTTCTAGGGTCTCCTCTGCGGTAGGTCTCCTGTGAATGAATGAGGATTAAGAAGGGATTTATCATTCAGTCATCCAGTCAGTCAATAACTGTTTGAGCAAACAGGGCTCCTAAGGACTTGGGGGCTTGCATGTCGAGCGGCAGGAGTCTGGGAGGAGCAGGCAGGTGGTATGAGGGTGACCCTGCAGGTGGGGGCTCCCAGGGCCTTGTACTCACAGGCGGTCCTGCACCAGCACTTTGATGAGGAAGCCCCGGGCCTCCCTGCTCAGGCTCAGGAATGTGGTCTCCTCGAAGGCCACGTTGTAGTTTCGGATGTTCATCAATGTTGTCCGGTCATTTTCCCCAACAAACGGGGAGATTCCTGTCAGACTGCAGAGGTGAAAAGGGGCGTCGTGAGGGGCAGGTGGGGACAAAGGGGAATGCCAGTGGGGGCACAGGGCTGGGGACAGGTGGAGGCTGGGGTTGTTAGGATGACAGAGGCTGGGCAAATCTGGGTAAAAGGCGAGGCTGCAGACTCTCTTCTCCCCTGTCCCCTCCCCAGCCCCCTGATGGGCAGAAAGGTGGTGCTGCCTTGGGGCCTAGTGGCCTGTGCTTTAGAGGACCTGCTCCATCCATCCTCCAGTGTGGCCTCCCCATGAGTGAAGAGTCTGTGCCAAGGGGATGTGCCCATCCTGAGCTCCACTCCCTTCGAGTCCCAGTTTTAGACACTCAGAGCCAAAGAGTTTCCTGCCTCCATGGCCCTGAGCCTGCGCTGGGCTCTCTCCATCCAGGGTGCCCACCTCTTACGGAGGGGTGTGGGGACAGGCAGAGTGTGGGCATGCAGACCAGGGCGTCCAACCTCATGCACATGAGGCTTCTTGCAGTACAAGAAGGAGTGGGGGGTGTGGAAGAGAAGGGGGTGGGCTGTAGCCCTGCAAAGGTCAGGGGTGGACCTGCCAGGAGACTGCTGGGACACTGCAGAGGGGTCCTTACCAGAGGAAGGCAACAACGCCCACAGGCCTGTGAGGAAAGGAGAGTGATGGGTAAGAGGACTGCACCCCTCTGACTGGAAGGGAGCAGTTCTTCGCTACTGCTGACCTGAGTGAGCGGTTACCTCCCTGGGAACACTGCCATGGACAATGGGCACAGGAGTGGCTTCTTCAGGGAGGACCCTGAACCCACAGGTCCAGATATGCCTGGAGAAGTCCAGGGTCATGGCAGGGCTGGCCCAGGAAGCCCAGGGAAGTCTGGGGACCAATGGGACCATGCCTGCCTCACTGGAGGAGGCATGCTGGCTGCTGAGGGCAAGGTGAGGGTGTCAAGGACTAACAGGGCTAAGGCCTTGAGAGAATGGGGCAGCCCTGACTCATGATGGGCAAGGAGTAACATGGGCAGGAAACCCTGCAAGCAATGCCTCCAGCCCACTGTCAGAAGGAATCCAGGCTTGGTAAATCTCCCTGTCAGTCAGCGCATCCCCGGCACAGCCCCAAGGGCAGCTGCCCTGGCCCACCCAGCCCAGCATGCCAGCCTTACCAGATGTCAGTGACTCCAGACACGGGGCTCTGATTGACAATCTCGGGTGCTACAAACTCAGGTGTGCCATACTGGCAGTACTGGGGCTCTCCTGGAGTCAGCTCCTGGGCATTCCCAAAGTCACAGATCCGCACCTGCTCTTCACCCTCGGCACCATCCCACACCAGCAGGTTCTCAGGCTGGAAGACACAAGGCGAGGTGTGGGGGCCGAATGAACAAGGAAGGACAGTCCACTCCTGGCTCCCACAGGGCCTGTCTGCTCTCCAGTCCCCACCTCACCTTGACATCGAGGTGCAGCACGTGGCTCTGGTGCAGGTAGTGTATTCCCTCTAGAACCTGCCGCATATAGGCCCGGATCTGTGGAAACAGGGGGCCCAGAGTCTGTGGGGGTAGGGTGGTATGTGTCTGATTACCTCCAGGGCGGCAAGCGGTCAGGCTGTGCCTGTGGAGTAGCCTTCAGATGGCTCATGGAAGGGGCTGAAACACAGGTTTGGGGTTGCAAAGATCCAAGGCTACCATGTGCACTGGAGGGTACAACACAATTATAGGGAGGAGCCATCGCATGGTAATAAGTAGAATTGTGCAGTGCACAATATGTACAGCCTGACATGGCAGGACTGCAGCGAGATCAATAAAATCTAGGTGGGGCTCCTTCCAGGAGAAATGTTTGGGAGATGCTTAGGTGATGGAGTGGGAAACAACAGTTAGGAACTGGGCTGGGTTTGCTGAGATTTAGAGAGAATAGCGCAAGTCCCAAATAGACAGGGGTCTGGTATCATTGGATGGGGACTCTGCTGCCTGCCTAACAGTGCTCTCTGCCTCCACCCCTGGCTTCCTGTGGACACAGATGGCATGCTCAGGACCCATTTGTTGATTCTCAAAGCTCAGGTGGGGGAAGGCCGGTGCCCAACCTGGCCCCTGCCACCCACTGCCCTCACCTCAGACTCACACACGGTCGGTTTCCTGGCCATTCGCTCCAGCAGCTCCTCTGTGCAGCTACGTCTCAGATCAAGGAGAACAGTGCCCAGTGCCAACTTCCCAGCCCACCCCAGAGCTCAGGGCGGGTCCCAGCTCAGCATGAGGTTCTCCATTCCCTTACAGAAGACCTGATACTAGTCAGAGACTATCTCTTCCCTCCTCCACATGTACCCCCTCCCCACCTCCTGTCTTCTGAGGGCACAGGTGGGACATCCCTGCTTGAACTCCCACTTTCTATGGGATCTCAGACAAGTCACTTCACCTCTCTGAGCCTAGGTTCTCCCAGGAGTAAGACGGGAATGAAATTTCCTCTCCTGCCCACCCTGTAAAGCATTTATAGGGATCAAATTACAGCAGAATTCTGTTGACTGTGGATGGGACTTCTTGACTCTATTTGAGAATGACCTAGAAGGTCCATGACATGGAATAATTTGTCATTTTGCTGAGGTTTGAATTCAAACAGTGCAGGCAGGAGGCTCATGAGCAGGTTACGGTCACCCTGCTACTGGGGTGATGAGCTCATCACCCAGCATCCTTACCTCAATGTGCCTTTGCTTAACCACGGCCTTTATGAAAGGGTAAAATCTGTTCCTTATGAAAACAGCCTCCAAATAAATCCAAGTATTGATCTGAAATGGGGTCACTTCAAATATGCAGATGCATTGTACTGCATTTCATGATGAAAAGCATAGGCCACGTGCTAGCTGTGTGACCTTGGGCAAGTTATTTAACCTCTCCATGCCTGTCTCTTCATCTGTAAAATGGGGATAATACAAGTTAACTATAAAATTCCAGGAGATAGGAATATGTGAGGATTAAATAGGTTAATATTTGTAAGACTCTTAGAACACTGCCAGGCATACATGAAATGCTATGTAAATTGAAGCTAACAATGGGCTTAAAACTGTTGGTTTTCATAGCAGTCTTCAGATGTATCCCTCCCAATTGTCAATGGGACTACTTTGTAAACTGTAAAACATGTTGCCTATTGGATGTTATAAGGACCAGTCATTTAGGCATGGATCTCCCCAGCCACCAGCCTGTCCCAGGATACAGCTCAGTGACAATGACCAGTCCTCGGCGCCTCTCGAAGGCCTCATGGAAGTAGAGGACACAGTCGTGCTGGAGCCTGGCCAGCAGCCGGGCCTCCCGACGCGCTGATGCCTTTGGCTTGGCCTGGCTGGGGATGAACTTGGCCGCAAACTCCAGGCCGGAGCTACGCTCCACCACACGCCGCAGGTAGGAGAAGGCACCCCTGGTTGACACCGGGAGGGGGTCAGGGATCAGCCATCACTGTGGCCCTCTCCATGCCTCCCAGCCCTCAGACCCAGCAGCCTCCACTGGCTTCCCTCCTAGCCCCACACCTGCCGATCTCCTGGTGGATGTCATAAAAGTCGCTGAGTCTCCTTCCTCGATGGTCCTCATCCTCCCCGACCCCCTCGACCTCCATAGCTGTCTGAGCTGGGGCAGAGATGTCATGGTGTTAGGTGGGAGGGGAAGAAAGCAAGCAGGCCAGAGACTGGGACAGGTGGACAGAGGAAGGAGACAGAAGAGGTGCAAGAATGTTGGGGGCTCAAGGTGGAGGGCTGGGCTGGGGGTGTGGTGGCTGGGAGTACAGGGCTGGCTGCTTCCTGGGCAGAGCATGGCGGGGGTGTCACATCAGATTCCAGGAGGTGCGCGCTTTACCTTTCTCCGGAACACCTGCCCACCTGAATGCACAGCCAACTCTGCTTTGCAGGAGACCTCGCCCGCCAGGTTCCGGGCGGTGCAGGTGTAGACGCCTCCATCCTGGGCCCCCGTGCTGAGCACCACCAGGGAGCACTCATTCTCCTCATACACGAAGCTCACATGGCTGCTCTCGGTCAGCAGCACTTCGTCCTGCAGAGTTGGGTCTCACCGTCAGCCTGGGCCTGGCCTCACCTCTGCCTTGGGGCCAGGAGCCGCTGTTCCAGACCCCGTCCTCATCTACTCTAGGCAGTGCATCTCTTCCCAGGACCCAGAATCAGCTCCTCCCTTATCTTTCACAGAAAGCCCTGCGCCCCTCAGCTAGTCAGTCCTCTGCATCCCCTTTCCTCCTCCTAACCACGCCTCCGCCCGGGCTCCGCCCTCCTAAGCCTCCCAGGACCCTACCACGCCCCCAGGGAGCCCCTCCTCTCCCTCCCAGGATCAGCCAGCAGCACACTCTGACCTTGTACCACATGATGTCCGGCAGTGGTTTTCCCTCAACCACCACGGCAAAGCGAGCAGTTTCCCCAGCCCCCACCTCCACGTCCTCCATGATGGACTCAAACCGAGGGGCCTCTGAAACACATGGGGATAGGAGTGGGAAGAGAGGGGGCAGAGGATCGGCTTTACCCTGCCTCCTCAGCCCCTCCCTAGAGCCCCCATCAGCGACTGGCTCAGGCAGAACGCTAGACCCCCGCCTCCCAGCAAGCCACCGTCCCCCACCCCCCACCAACTGGGACAACAGAGTTCCCCGCCTGGACCAAGCGCCCCCGCCCCCGTAAATCCAAACGTGATGTTCTCCAAATCTCAGGAAACCTGGCACAAGGTGCAGGCTTGCTTTGTTCGACCTTCAGTATTAATTTGGCAGCTTTGAAATTAGGAGATTTTCACACACAAAAGAAATCTGGATTTCCTGCCTTTCTTGAAAAATCAGGACTGGCCATCCTGTGTCGCTCCCGTCACTGCATGAATCCGCGGGCGAGGAGCGGCTCAATGCTGCCCCCTGTGGGTGGCCGCCCTTCTTCACAGGGCCACCCGCTGGCTTCTGACTACCTGAACTTGGCCCCCTGCAGGTGGCTCAGCCTGTGACCCTGAATTAAGCTCATGGATGGCATTGCCTCTATCTTGGAGTTTTTTTCTCTGAATCTTTGAAAAATGTTTAGAGGGCCTTCTGTTAATAGCACCTGGGAGATGGCAAGATGAACAAGTAACCCCTAAATACCAAACCGTCTAGAAATGGACTCTATCTTCCACATATGATTGTGATTTCATTCTCCATACATATCATGTGGTCATATGATTTCCTGGTAAAGCAGCTTCTAATTCTCATGATGAAATTAAATACATATTGCAATGTGCTTTGCAAAGGAGGCTGTGACTTCCAGGTGTCCTCCGCCAGCCCCTACCCGCAACCCCAGCATGTTTGAGCATCTCAGCTTGAGGAGAAGCAGGATGAGTCAGGTACTTGGGAAGGCAGGGTGGCCAGGTGTGGACCCCCACCCTTCACAGGCACACAGACAACAGGGGAGGCCATCCTGGGGATGGGGAAGACACTGCAGTGAGGTTGACATGGAGGAAGGGGGGCCACCGCTCCACTTGCCCTGTCTGGGTGTGGCAGGGTGGGGTCTAGTGGAATAGGAGTGTCAGTGCAAGCCCCAGCTCCATCTGAGCCCTGGCTGGCTGGGCTCAAATGGGGCTCCATCAGTCACTGTTCCAGCTAGGCTGTGCTGCAGGGCTCTGAGGGCCAGGGGCCCCCCAAACTTCAGGGTTCCTCCTATATCTGGGAAGAAAGGTGAGTCCTAAAGATGAACTGTCAAGGAGTAAAGTGGTGACTGAGTGGAGAGTGCTAGGGACAGGACAGGCAAGGAGGGAGACACTTAAAAGAGCACCCAGCCATCCCACCATCTTCACAGCAGGGCCGGAAGGGTTCCCTGTCTCCTCGTTACACACCCTATTGCCACTTCCCTTCCACTTCACAGATGCCTCCCCTCCCCTCTAGGAATCCTGTCCCCCATGGGCTGGGAGGTGGTGGGCGCAGTCTGTGAGGGTCAAAGCACCTGAAAGTTTCCAGTGAGCTTCAATGGTCTTTTGAAAGCACCAGAAAATGTCCATTTACCCATGATAAGATTGCCTGTTCTAAGTAAAATATCTCTTTCTTTGCTTTTGGTTGGACTTGTATTTACTCAGCAGGTAACCCTGCTTAGCCCATGTTGATCAAGAGTTCTGAGTGGCAGTTACATATGTCTAGAGTTAATTAACAAATTGGAAAACCAAACAGTTACTACCTAATGCATGAGATAGCAACTAGTTTGAGAGACTACATCTTTAAAGGAGAAATTATAAAAAGAATCGTAAGGCCCGATGCGGTGGCCCACACCTATAATCTCAGCACTTTGGGAAGCCGAGGTGGACGGATTACTTGAGGCCAGGAGTTCGAGGCCAGGAGTTCAAAACCCGCCTGGCCAACATAGCAAAACCCCATCTCTACTAAAAATACAAAAAATTAGCTGGGTGTGGTTGTGCATGCTTGTAGTCCCAGCTACTTGGCAGCCTGAGGCACAAGAATCACTCGAACCGGGAAGGTGGAGGTTGCAGTGAGCCGAGATGGTGTGGGTGACAGAGTGAGACGACTGTCTCAAAAAAAGAGAAAAGAATTCTTGCTGCAAACATTGGGAGGCTCTGTCAAACAGGCTTGTGCCAAAGGGCCGCCAGGATCCTCAGGGCTGGCAGTCTGGTGATAAGATGTGCTCACGGGTTTCTTTAAAAACCAACTTGGTCTTCTCATGTTTGTTATATCTGAGATACTATTTCCTATTATGTTTAACACAGGAGCTAGGAGTCAGGCAGCCACACTTGAACCCAGTCCTGTACTTATTAGGTTCTGTGAACTTGGGCCAGTTACTCTTAGCCTCAGCCTCAGTCTCCTCATCTGTAAAATGGGGATAATAACTACCCCATCTCACAAGGCTGATGTAAACATTAAATGAGGCAATACACATAAAGTGCTGAGTACTGAGACTGGCACACACTAGGCTCAATACATCTTTTTTTTTTTTTGAGACTGAGTTTTGCTCTTGTTGCCCAGGCTGGAGTGCAATGGCACGATCTCGGCTCACTGCAACCTCTGCTTCCCAGGTTCAAGTGATTCTCCTGCCTCAGCCTCCCACGTAGCTGGGACTACTGGGGCCCACCACCATGCCCAGCTAATTTTTGTATTTTTAGTAGAGACGGGGTTTCACCATGTTGGTGAGGCTGGTCACAAACTCCTGACCTCAGGTAATCCACCCATGTCGGACTCCCAAAGTGCTGAGATTACAGGCATAAGCCACCGCGCCTGGCCAATAAATCTTATTAGTATGATTGTTGTCATTATTACTAGTATGGTATTTGTATAGCCATGACATGGACAGGCCTGACTGGAGGACATGGGTTTGGATCTGCAGCAGTGTCAGGTGGGTTGTGTACCTGGGGGTGTGAGGAGAGAGCTTTGGGCCTTTGAGGGAGACTAGGAAGAAGGACCCGCTGTCACCCACCTGCCAGCTCCAATGTGACCGAGCAGGTCTGCGTGCCGTGACGGTTTCGGGCAGTGCAGGTGAGGGCCCCCATGTCCCGGCGGCTCACCCGGCAGATCCGAAGACAGTACTGGTCATCATCTGGCTGGCTCAGCTCGTACACACCTGCCCGTGCCTCTAGGAGGGCCCCTCGGCAGCTAAGGGACACATGACAGGGAGGTCACCCAGATCTTGCCCCAGGAAATTCTGGCCAGGCTGGGCCAGACCTAAGCAGCCACATGTGGGAAAGGGGCTCACCTCCTCCAGACGACCTGGGCCTCCACATGGTTGAATGTGACGGTGACACTGGCAGGCTGTCCCTCCACCACATACACGATGTCCGGTTTGTCCAGCACGGCAGGGGCCTCCTCCAGGGGTGGGCCTGGGAGGAGGAGAGCGCAGGCTCTGTGCTGGGCTTGACGCCAGGTCCTCAGCACACACCACTCCTTTAACACCCCTCATCAACACTTGAGCTCCGTTTTTATAGATGGGGAAGCTGAAGCTCAGAGAGCTTTAGCGATTTGTCCAGGGAACACAGCCAGGGAGTGGCAAAGCTGGGGTTGTGGGGTTGGACTCCAGCAGGCCCGATCCCAAAGCCTGAGCTTCGGCCACTGTGCCCTGCTGCTTTCAGGAGGGAGAAGGAAGTGTATAGATGGGCCAAGGTCCTGCCCAGCCTGGTTGCTCCTGCCAGATACCATGTGCAGGCCAGCCCTTCAGCCTCCACCACAGGGCCCTGTTCCCCATCCCAGCATCTCCCACCCCTACCCAACAGGAGCACCCAGGCTCACCGTGCTCCAGCAGCTGTACAGGCTCAGAAGGGGGCGAGGGCTTGCTGCTGCTCTTGACAGTGGTGCTGAGGACCCGGAAGATGTGCTGGACCCCCTTACGCAGCCCCGTGGCTGCCCACCCTGGCTCCCGCAGGCCTGTGACCAGTGCCGTCCACTGGTCCGAGCCCAGCACCTGGTGCTGCACTGTGTACGTTAGGGAGTCCGGGTCTGGCGGGAGAGGAGCTACTAGAGGCTGGTGTTACACGAGCAGCACCCCCTCCCCATCCAGCGGGACTGGGACCCTGGAACTCATCATTAGTCTGCTCTGAGGACATGCCTCAGTCCCTGCTGTTGCTTCCTCTCTGTCCCCCATCTGCTCTTGCCCAGCCACTTCCCTGGGAGGTTTAGAGCCAACAAGATACCAGTTACAGGTACAGATGGGGCTGGAATTGAACTCTAATTCCTTGATACCTGAGGCAGGGAAACTGAGGCAGAGTGGAAGGAGATCCTGGACAAGAGGAGGAGAGGGCATTTGCAAGTCCCGACCCAGGCACCCAGTCCCTCTGAGAATAGGAAGGGAATGTGGCAGTGCCCCGTGCCTCCTCTCCTGACCCAGAGCGAGAGCACCATGCACCGTGGAGAGAAGACGGGCAAAGCTGTTCCTGCCAGCATTCCATCAGCTCCTGCCCCTGCCCATCTGCTTCTGGGGTCTGGCCCCCATGGTGCCCTGCCTGAGCCTGCGCTGTCCACACCCCTTCCCCACCCACGGCCCTGTGCAGCCCTGACCCACCGATGGCCATGTCCAGACTCCTGGGGGGGTTCCATGTGAGTGTGACCATCCTCCCCGTCACAGCCACCACCTGCGGGGCACCATCTGGAGGGCCTGGGACCACATCTGAAAGCCACAGGTCAAATGTCTGCTGGGTCCAACGGCCCAGCAGCCCCACAGGATCACCAAGCCTCAGGGCAGGAGTCTAGGGCCTGGGGTCTCAGCCGCAGGGGCAGGGGCAAGGGCAAGATGGGGGGGTCCCCAGGGGATGGAGGGGAAGGGAGCTGATGTGGAGGCCCCTTTCCTTGAGACCCCAGGTAGTGCCAGAGGCCAGGCTGTGCATGCAGCTGACCACGAGGGTGCCTGCCTCACCTGTGACATACAGGTGGGCATAGCAGGCAGCTTTGCCCAGCTTGTTGGCGATGACGCTCTTGTAGACACCGGCATGCTGAGGCCCCACGGCAGGGAACACCAAGCGATGGACATCCCTGTCTGGTGGGGGAGGGACAGTGACACTGGGCCTGAGCCTGGAGGATACCTTGAGGGGTAGGCCTATGCCATCCCGGGCCTGGTCCCTCATCCCCATCCACTGTAGGGAGGAGGCGAATGGGGAAGGATGGGGCAAGGATGGGGCAGACAGCAGGAAGTGCATCCACAGCAAACTCCGGGTCCCGGCCCGAGCTGGCTTCCAAGTCTACATCTGCCCTGACCCCTCTGGTCTGTTTCTCCAGTGTGTCAGGCCAGGCAACTTATCATCTTTGCTTCCTCCTACACTGGGCACCCTCTAGGGTCCCTGCCCCTGTTGACTGGCCCCTCGTCTCCCCACCTCTGCAGGGTCACAACCTCTATGTCAAAACTCGAACAAGGTTTTGTTCCCAAGGCCCCTCCCCTAAGCCCTTCTTCTCCATCCCCAGGCCACTGCCATTCTGTCTCCAGCGCAGCTGCAGGGAAGCCCTCCAGGAGGGCAGCAAAGCCCTCAACCCGAACTCCCTGCCAGCCACGTCTCTGCTGCTCCTCTGCATTTTGATACTGGCAAACCATCAGGCCCCTGAACGAGCCGCTGAGTTCCATCTCCAGGTCATTGCTCACCACATTCCTCCCTTGTGGAATGCTCTCCTCTTACCTGAGGCTTCCTTGTCCTTCAAGACATAGTTCAAGTGGGTGCAGCCCATGAAGCCCTCCTGCCCCTGGCCCGCTCTCTACCCCTCATCCTCGGACTCCTCCCAGGACCCCAACCCTCTCGCTTGCACATCGATGGGCACTGGCCCACACTGCTTTTCACAGGTGGGGGCTCTTCCTCTTGCATAAGCCGTAGCTCCTGACCTGGCCTGCAAGCTCCTTAAAGACAGGGCTGACTTTGTCAGATCTGCTTGTCCCACCAGACCCAGAACCTCACACACAGTAAGTGCCAAATACATTCTATGATATATTACAAGAGTTGCCTGCTCTGTGCCCAGCCTGTACCAGGTACCTGACATGCTTTCCCCACCTGGAATCCTCACAACAACTCTACAAAATTATCCCCATTTTACCAATGAGGTCGGAGATATTGACTTGGTCAAGGTCACACGGCTAATAAATGAGGGCTTGACCTTGGTTCCATGTGATTCCAAAGCTCTTTCCCTACTCCCTGCTCCCTGGATGATAAGGAAGCTGTCTCTGGCGAGGACACAGAGAGGAGGCCTGCACTGTCCTCCTTTGTGTCAGGGCTGTCCCCAGACACCCCTCCCTTCTCTTTGCAGTTATCTCCGCATAGAACAGTTACCCATTCATTTATCTCTGCTGACACTATTTATAAGAGAAGAGAAGCCAAGGGCTGCCAGTGACCCTAGATACAGGCAGAAGCAGAGACGCCAGCTCAGATCCTGAGACAGACACTCACCCAGGACCTCAGAGCAGACTGGGAGACAGGGAGGCCTGCTGCTGAGAATGACAGTCATGGGAGGCTGTGGGCAGGGGTGGGAGCAGGGGTGGCATCACTGGAGATGGGCGGGCGGGCAGGGAGAATGTAGCATGGGTGACAGGGACATCCTGGTTAGGAGCTGGGCACCAGGGTCAGACAGTCCTTTCTTGCCTCTGGGCAGCTTCCTGTATCTCTTTAAGCCTCAGTTTCCTCATCTGTAAATGGGGCTAATAGTACCCGCCTTATAGGCCTGTGGCAAGGTAAGATGGTCCTTGTCATACCTTTAGCTCTCAGGGCCTGGCACTTAGAAAGCACTTAATGAAGGTGATCTCTGTCATGTTGCAGCCGTAAGAGGAAACCGTCATGGGTCAAAGAGTGGGCACTGTCTTATGGGAGGTGGGCAGACCTTCTCACACAAGACTCAGATTCCTTCAAGGATGGAACTGAGATGCTCCCATGAGAAAATGTCCCAGGCTTAGAGGACACCAACCCAAATACGTTCCTCTGTGTCTCCCCTGGCCCCTTCTTCTTTATTTGTTATTTGTTAATAACCCTGGGCAGAGCACCCTTTCCATGCCAGACACTGCCCGCACCTGCTTTTTCATTGCAATGTCTCCAGGAAGTACCACCGCTGATGATAATGGCTACTAAAACAGGAACAGTGAGACGTCACACCTCCCGACTGCTTGCCAGGTGTCAGGCCCTGCTCTAGGGCTTATATGTATTAACTGATTTAGTCTCATAACAACCCAATTACAGATGAGAAACTGAGGCACAGAGGGCTTCTGTAACTTGCTCATGGGCCCGATGCAGGTTAGCAGCAGGCTGTACTACCTGCCCAGTCAGTGCTAACAGGCACCGAGGGGTGACTCAGCAGATGAGTGCTGTGCTGTGCGGGCTTGCAGGGGAGGCAATGACCTCACAGTCCCTCTGGGTTCCCTTCCCCCAGGTGCCCTGTCCCTGGTCAGGCTACAGAGGGAAGGCCTGGGGAAAGCTGGGGAGAGGGGCAGGGCATTGCAAACCAAGAGGATGCTGCAGGGGACACTCCCGGGGTCCTTCCCAGACACGTACACTGTGTCATGCGCCGGTCGTCGCTGCTCTGGATGCGGTGGCCATTGTGGAACCAGCTGATGGTGGGGTAGGGCAGGCCGGTCACCTGGCACTCTAGCATGGCCTCCTTGGCCAGTCCCACCTCCAGGTCCTGCAGTGGCCGCAGGAAGTCGGGAATGGACAGCCGCTCTAGCTCACCCTGCTCTGGCTCCTCGGGAATGGATGGCATCTTCTCCAGCTTCGAACTGCAAGACCATACAGCTGCCCAGAGGCCCAGGGCCATGCCTCCCACCCCAGGGCTGGGCTGGCCCCTCACAGGCAGCCCCGGCATCATGTGGGGCCCCGGTGGTACCTGGGGCCTGAGGCGGCTGTCCGGGGCTCTTCTACATACAGCTGGGCTGAGCAGTGGGCCTGGCCATGGGTGTTAACAGCACTGACCGCATAGAGCCCCTCGTCCTCACTGCCCACATGGGCAATGTGGAGTGAGTGCAGACCCCCATCCTGCCGTAGCCGCAAGTTCTCACTCTCCTCCATGGGGCGGCCTGCAGGAGGGAGGAGTGGGAATGCGGAGCAGGCGCAGTGACAGGCCCTGCCCTCTGGGTGTACCCCATCCCCGCCTGGGCCCTTGGGGGGCCCTCAACACCTGCAGCATAGGGGCCGTACCAAAATGAGTCCAGGTAACAACAGGGGGTGGGGTGCCGCTGATCTTGCAGTCGAAGCGGGCAGCTCGGCCCTCCAACACCTCCACATCTTCCAGCAGCCGTGTGAACAGGGGTGCCAATGAGGGCCGCACGGTCAGCCGGGCACTGCAGGTCAGCTCATCTGGGGGTCAGGGGGCAGCTCAAAGACAGGGAAGGCCAAGGAGGCCCAGGCATCCCAACCCGCCACTCCTGACCTAAGGCTGAAGCTAGAGCCTGGGCAGAGCCCAGCAAAGGCTCTGGGTACCCAGGGGAGGCAGTAGGCACAGATCCAGAGACCAGACCTTCTCGAGAGGGTGGAAGTCAGCAAGGGTGGGCTCAGGCTGCCATGTGGGCTGGGGACTCCATAGGAGCCCAGGGCCTGGCCCCAGCTCTCCCCTCTTCCCCTCACCCTGCCCACCCTGGATGAAGCACAGCCCAGCGCTGACAGGGTCCTAGAAGCCCAGCCCAGCCCTCCTCCATCTCCATCTCAGAATTCTCCTCCGTGCCGGGATCATGCCCATGCTCCTAGCCACCTGCCCCAGACCCAGAGCAGATGCCCCTTGGCCCCACTCTACCAAACTCCAAAGAAGCTTCTGGAAGAGATAAGGGTCCCTTATGCTGACCCGATGCACCCTCCTGCTTCGAAAGCCCCTCCAGCTTCTGCTTAGGTCTTCATCATCCACAACGTGGCGAGGCAGGTACCATCATCTCTGCCCTTCCATGAGGGCAGGCCCAGGTCAGAGATAGCATCAGTGGTAACAATGGCTGGCATTTATTAAGCAGGTGTGCCATTTGAAACCCATTTCTGGAATGGTCGGTGCCCTACCCTCTCCTGGAAAGGCCCTTTGACAGGCCCTGTGCTTCGTTCTTCACATACACTATCTCATTAATCCTACCAATCCTTCTACAAAGGAGGCATGATCACCATCCCTGTTCTACAGATGAACAGGCTAAAGCTCAGAGAGATGAAGTGACTTGTTCAAAGTTATGTAGCTGGTGACTTGCAGGGCAGGCGTTGGAACCCACATTCACCTCAGGAGACACATTCCCTCCCAGGAACAGTTAACCGTGTTGCGGCCTTTCCTTTGTGCTACGCACTATTCTAAGTGCTCATTTTACTGAGGCCAGGGCAGTGTACTAGCTCCCACCCCCTACACTTCCCCTAGGGGTTGGAGCTCTGTTTCCCAGGCATCTTATTCTGCACCTCCAGTCCCCTCCCTCCATCTCTTGGGCACCCACGGCAGCCCTAAGGCCTGAGTGGGGAGTTACCTTTGGCTGTGCTGAGCTTGCAGGTGTAGACGCCACTGTCGTCCTCATGTACAGATGTAAGCAGCAGCTTGCATTTGCGGCCATCGAAATGCATCTTGCATTTGAGCAGTGCAGGCTGCAGCAGGCGGCCACGGCACAGCCAATCCACCTCCACATCAGTGGGCCCCGCCACCAGGCACTCAAACAGCGCCATCTCCCCGGCCCCCACGTCCACGTCCTGCAGGGGGGCCAGCACGGCCAGGGACCGGCTTTCAGGGTGTGCTGAGGGGAAAGCAGCCACGGGGGCCACGCACAGAGCAGAGACACACAGGGTGAGGGAGACACACATACGCACGCACAGAGAGACAGACAGACACAGAGAGAGAGATGCATTTTGTTCTCTGGAGATGGGGAAAGCCCACCCACCTGGCCAGGACAGCAAGGCATGCCCAGACCTGGCTTCAAGATGTCAATCCAAGCTAGGCCAGGGAGGGTAACTCATGGAGGCAAGGGGGAACTGAGGGAGGGGAAACCGAGAGGGCCACGTGGTGGCAGAGACAGCGGCGGGGAAAAAAAAAAACACAACACACCAGCTGGGTACAAACTGGACTTTATTTGAGTTAAGAAATAGGTGTTTCCAAATCTCTCCACACTCACTACAGTGGCCCCTTGCCCCTGCTCCTGCACCAAACCTGGTTAACTCCCTCATTCCCAGACAGAGCATCCCCAGCCCTGACAGGGAAGGAGGGAGCCCCAAATGGTCCCTCAACCTGCCAAGGCCAGGGCTCAGCCAGGCTGTTCATCAGCACAGAGCCTGGGGCCTCTGGCTTTTGGTCTTTTGTGGAATAGAAAGTGTTGTGCCATTTGAAACCCATTTCTAGAATGGTCAGTGTCCTAATCCCTCCTGGTAAGGCCCTTGTCAACAGCCCCTGCTCCTTGGGCCCCTCCACGCCATGCCCTAATCTCTCCCATTCTGTCTCACCCCACCTCAGCTCAGAGGCATCCTTCCCTGACTGTCACAGACACACAGACAGACAAACAGATAGACAGGCCTGTAGCAGCAGTAGCACATGCACTCGCCCGGTGCTCCCCTTCAGGGAGAGACTCAGGGGGATGATACCCCTCACAGCCGCCCCTTCCCAGCACTCAGTCCATCTGTGGGCCTCCTGGCCTGCACAGCCATGTGTCCACTTGGGGAGGGAGGATCCACAGGGGCCCATGGGCTATCCCCCTGGGGGCTGCATGGGGTGGGGAGGGGAGGCTGGGACGGGTCCGGGCCGGCGGGCCTGGGTCTGTGGGCAGGAGGCAGTGAAACACAGCGAGGTCCGAGAGGTGCCTGAGACAGGGGCGCGGCTCGGAGGGTAGCGGGGGGAGCGCAGGTGGCCCCCTGAGCTCACTCGCCTGTGTACAGACAAAAACCTCAGTCAGCAAGCGGCAGGTTAGTGCAGCATACGCGCACGCGCACACACACACACGCATGCACTCACACATGCACACACACGCACACGCACACACCTATGCACACACACATGCATACGCACACATGCACACACACGCATATATGCACATGCACACGCACACGCACACATGCACGCACAGTCACGCAGACCTGGCTAGGGCCCTTCTGCATAGAGGGCTGCCTCTCACACTGCCAGGGCAGCACTGCCACTCTTGGTTCCCCCAAGGTCAGCTCTGGGCTGGGAGGGCCCGGCAGCTAGTCAGAGACTGGTTCCTCAGGGTTCCTGGGCAGGCAGAGACCCCGGGCAACCAGGCATTCATGGGATCAGGAGCATCCCGAAGCCTGGGGGTGTTGGAAGGAATCCCCAAGAGAAAGAAGCACCGAGACACGGGTTAATACAGAGAAGCAAGGCAGAGCCAGGCCCTGGAGAGGAAGCAGGCCGAGGAGGAAGGCTGAAGAATCTGGAGACCAAGGAAGTGGCAACTACAGGAACGGCGGGCACAGAGGAGGGGAACTGAGGCAAGGGGGCCAGCAGAGGGACCATGACTGTCAGGGTCCGAGCTCTGAGTCTTGGGGAAGGTCAGGGGCTGGGGGCTGAGTGAGAATCGAGGAGAGGAAGCAAGACGCCATTGAGGCAAAGGGTGAGGTGGAAGGCAAGACAAATGGCTGTGGCCTTCGGGGAGGAAAACCCACGGCCCTTGAGGGCCCCCTAGCCAGGGCCTGTCATTCCTGCTGCCTGAGACAGCCCCTTCACATAATGCCCCAGGCTCTGGGGGCCTAGGCCTCTTCACACGTCACAGCTGTGCTCACCCTGGCACCCTAGGGTCCCTGTGATGCTCCAAGCCTAAGCCACCCCAAGGGCCCCTCCGAACGGGTCCAGCCACCAGACTCTCCCCACCGCTACCTCACAGTAACTTCTGCACAGCAATGGGATGGGAGGGTGGGCAAAGGGGTGAGAGGAGAGGGGGAGGGGGATGAGGGAGGGTCCTGGGCAGAGCAGGGTGACAAAGGCTCAGGAGAGTGTAGAGAGCGCTTGGCCAGTGGCAGGTGCAGGGTCTCTGGCTGCCACCAGGGCTCCGTGATGGAGCAACAGGGAAGGTGGTGTTGTGTAGTAAGCTGAGCACAAAATAATGTGCTGTGCAGCTTTGGGCAGGTCACTTCCTGTCTCTGGGCTTTGGTTCACTCAACAATAATATAAGCAGCTGGACTAGGGGACTGGTGGCATCCTCTAACTGAGGCTGCGTGAGAGCGGACCGTGGGGGCAGGAAGGGACCAGGGCCAGGTGGGCTTTCATGGAGAAATAAGGTACTCACCTCGGACCTCCAAGCGGGCCTCGCATTGCCGAGCGCCATACTCATTGACCGCTTTGCAAGTGTAGAAGCCAGCATCGCCACGTTCTGCAGCCAGGATCCGCAGCCGGCACAGCCCACCCTCAGCCTCCTCTGCAAAGCGCCGCTGGTCTGGGCGCACGGGCTGGCGGTTTCTCAGCCTGTCAGAGGGGCGAGAACTCAGTCCCAGGACCCAGGGGCCTGATGTGCGCGCACAGGAACTGGGGCTGCAGCACTGTGTAGGCCTCTCCTTCCCTGTGCAGTTTGCCCAGTCCCCAGATCTGTCCCACCGAACGTAGGCATCCCTGGTTTCCAGGGCTAGGTTTTTACCCCCCCTCTGCCATCCCACCCACCTCTAGGAGCTTCCAGGTCACTTCTAACTGCCTGGAGCTCTCCCTTCTCAGAACCCTGCTGCACTCAAGAGTGGAGCCGTGCTATTTAGCTCTTTTTTCTTTTCTTTCTTTCTTTTTTTAAACAGGGTTTTGCTCTGTCACCCAGGCTGGAGTACAGTGGCACGATCACAGCTCACTGCAACTTCTACCTCCCCAGGTTCAAGCGATTCCCCCACCTCAGCCTCCTGAGTAGCTGGGACTACAGGCACCGCCACCATGCCCCCCTAATTTTTGTATTTTTTGTAGATACAGGGTTTCATCATGTTGCCCACACTGGTCTTGAACTCCTGGGCTCAAATGATCCTCCTCTCTTGGCTTCCCAAAGTGCTGGGATTACAGGCATTGAGCCCTTATGCCTGGCCCTATTTAACTCTTAATAATTCTTAAACTTCCCCATTTCTTATTTTTATTTATTTATAATGGATAGATAGCTTTCCCACTTCCCAAAAGGGATATGAAAAAACTTACAATGTTTAAAAAAAAAAAAAACAAAACAGTGGGGTCTGGGCACGGTGGCTCATGCCTGTAATCCCAGCACTTTGGGAGGCCAAGGTGGGTGGATCACCTGAGGTCAGGAGTTAGAGACCAGCCTGACCAG